AGGGTAGAGCACGAAGGGCGCATTGTCATTGTCGTCCAGCACCAGCATGCGCACCAGCACCTGGCTGCTGAGTGCAGGGGAGCCTTGGTCTGTGGCGGCCACAAGGAACTCGAAGGACTGCAGAGCCTCATAGTCCAGCGCTCTGAGTGAGAACAGCTGCCCATTTTCAGCGTTGATGGAGATGAGTGAGGCGAGGTCCAGCTGCTGGTCATGTGGCGGCAGCAGCGAGTAGGTGATGTGGGCGTTGGAGCCAGAGTCTGAGTCTGTGGCTCTGATGGAGCCTATGAGCAGGGCGGGGCTGTTGTTCTCGCGGACAGACAGGGTGTAGGAGGATTGGGTGAAGGCGGGGGCGTTGTCGTTGATGTCGGACACCTGCACTGCTATGGTGTGCTGGGTTGTGAGCCTGGGTGAGCCCATGTCGGAGACGGAGATGGTGATGTTGTACTCGGCTCTGCTCTCTCTGTCTAGTGCTTTCTCAGAAAGTAGAGTGAAGAAGTTCTTGAAGGTGGGTTTCAGGAGAAATGGGAGGTCATCCTGAATAGAGCAAAGGACCCTTCCGTTGTCCCCAGAGTCTTGATCTCGGACACTGAACAGAGCAACCAGGGTCTCTGAAGCGTTTTCTGGAATTGTCTTTGTAATTGATGATATAGTCACTTCTGGCGCATTGTCATTTATATCCAACACTTTAACTAAAAGAGTGCATTTTGCTGAAAGACCTCCACCGTCTGTTGCTTGGATATTTACAGAATAGGATTGTATTACTTCAAAATCCAGTAGTGATCTCAAATTGACGTTCCCAGATGTTGGGTTGATTTCAAAGGTTTTTCTGATATCTTCTGATGCATGCAAAAATGAATATGATATTTTCCCATAATTTCCGGTGTCTAAATCCTTAGCAGAGATGGCAATAATAGTGGAACCAATGAGCCTGTCCTCTGGGACCTGCACCTCGTAGAGACTCTGATCAAACTCAGGAGCATTATCATTGATGTCCAAGACCTTTATGAGAATCAGTGTAGTCCCAGATCTGGGTGGAGAGCCACCATCCGAAGCTGTAAGTGTCAATCTCAGCTCAGATTCCTCCTCATGATCTAAAGCTCTGTCTAGAACCAGCTCTGGATATAACTTCCCATCACCACTGTCATGAATTTTAACATAGAAATGATGACTGGGGCTAATGCTGTAGTCCCGGAGACTATTGCTTCCTATGTCCAGATCTTGCACATTGTCAATTAAGAATGTGGCTCCCACAGTTGCGCTTTCTGGTATTTTAATAGTTATTTCCTTGTCTAGGAATGTAGGGGAGTGATCGTTTATGTCTCTGACGTGCAGCTCGGCTCGATAGAACTGTAAAGGGTTTTCCAGTACCACCTGAAAGGGCAGCACACAGGGCTGGGTGGAGCCACACAGCTCTTCTCGGTCCAGTCGCTCATGCAGGAGCACATCTCCGGTCAGGACGTTAAGGAGCAGACGTTTTTTATTATCATCTGACACTACCCTTGCCTCTCTGGAGGACAGCTCCGCAACCCCCAGCCCTAAATCCCTTGCCAGATTAGCCACAAAAGAGCCAATTTCTGTTTCCTCAGCTACAGAATAGCGCAAAGATTCGGTACTCGCCCGAGACAATCCCAGCAAAATAGAGAAAACCAAGACTTGCCTTTTTTGCAGGATGAGCACCCTTCCGGTTCCCATGGTTCCTTCAGGCAACCTCTTTTGTTCCAAAACTTGATTTGGTCCCAATTCTGAGAGATGAAGGCCCGATATTTCTATTGAAAATCCCTTGGCAGCTCGGTCCGTGAAGCTCCTGTTACCTCGTTTCTCAGTGGATTGGCTGTTCTCTGATCCTTTCCATAGCGGAGCCCACAGGGCGAGCTATACACTGTTTCATGTTATCCTACAGCGCCACCATGTGTCTCTACGTATTTTTTCATTTAATAGTTTTTTTCCTAAAATTTCGTGAATACATCTATCTACCTACCTATCTATCTATCTATCTATCTAGAATATTCAAAAGCAAATTTCACATAGATTTTATTTGTCTCTAAGTATTCCTTAATTATTTCTAATTATCAAGACCTTTAAAAATATAATTACAATATCAACACCACAATTGACATACAGAAATGATTCTTGGATATAGCTTAAAACTCAGTCTGTTTAGACTTTTCGGTTTTCTACAAAATGTCTCGTGTTGTTGGCTTGTTTTAATTAGAATCCAAACAAAGCCTACACTCTCTATGAAAACATTAGTGCTTTGAATGTCCAGCTCAAAAAGATCCACTAAAGTGCCACAAAATAAGCAAATAATGTTTATTTCAAGAAAATTCTTTAGTAGTTACAAATATTTACCTTCACACTGACAAACACTTGTTAGGGTGAGTTCATTATATAACTGTAACACCATTACACTTTGTACACACAGACACAGACACACACACCCACAAACACACACACATAAATCAAGAAAAACCGAGAACACACTACTTTTTTGTTACTAATTAACTTAAGATATGGGGGTATTAGACTCTTTGCTTTTAGATTAAAAACAAGTAAGGTATGATGGCACATACCTTTACTCCCAGCACTCAAAAGGCAGAAGCAAGGGGACCTGTAAGTGCATAAGGTCAGCTTGGCCTACATAGTGAGCTCCATGCCAGGGAGAACCGTGGAGGGAGATGAGCAGCTCGCAGGCAGCAAACACTGCTTAGCTAGTAATTAAGACATGATGATGTGTAGGTAAAGAATAACAAAAACATCCAACATGTAACTGTGACCCAAGAGATGGATAATATTTAGAAAGACAGAATCCTGGTTCTGTCACTCTCTATGGACATGGACAAATTATGTACCTTTATTTCCTTACCTATAAAATTGGATGCTGGCAGTGTTTTCCTCCTAGGGCCTCTGTCATAGAAATTAATGAGTTGACATTTACAAAGTAGCCAGAAAGAACTAACTAAATGTCTGTTAAGAGAAAACAATGAAAATATGTGGAGGCAACTCAGGACTGGTGTGAGTGGATGTCATGCTCACTGAGGTTCTGGTTCAAGTCTTAGCTTCAAAATAAAACTACAACCACAATGTCACCCCCAAATTTCATTTCTATTGAGTATGTTAGACTTTCCCATGTTACCAGGTATTGGGTTATAAGTAATCCAGGAATAATTTAAAGTATGTGGATGGATATGTGCAGGTCATGGACAAGCTCTACTCTAATTTTGGAAAAGAAATTTTAGTGTCTGAATTTTTGTCTACACAGAACAGTAGAGCCAAGATTCACTTATTTTTTTTTAAAAAGAAAAATAAATATCTTTCTTAAAACAAAGGCGACCCAGCATTCAAAATCATTCTTTGAAAGGCAAGTGGAATTTCAAGGAAGCAAGAAAGAGGAACAGCAGCAAACACTCTAAAGCCAAGAAAAAATTAAATGTTAGAACTATCTATTGTATTTAAGGTTATATTTGTGGATAGATGCCTGCTAAAATATGTGCTGCTCTTCTATATGTAGCCAAATGCATGGTGTGTTGGTTTGAAGGAGATTGCTTGCCATGGACTCTTAAGTTTGAATACTTGGCCCCCAGTTGGTAGAACCACTTGGAAAGGATTAGGAGGTGTGGCCTGATTGAAAGAAGTGTGTTAACTGGGGTTGGGCTTTGCGATTTCCAAAACACTCATGCCATTCCTAGTGTCTGTCTCTCTGCCTGCAATGTGCAGATCAAGATGTGAGTTCTCGGCTGTTTCGGCCACCAGACCTTTGCTCTGTCACCATGGACTCTAACCTCTGACACAGCAAGCCCTGAGTTAAGCACTTCTTAAAATAAGTCACCTTGGACATATGTTTTACCATGGCAATAGAAAAGTAACTAAGACACAGGCAACTGAGCTGACCTGCCTGTCTGAGCCTCATTGTGGTTTGGTTTGACCTTGGCAATTTCACAGATGGATTTCTGTGACAGAAGAGGTCTAAATGATCTTCTAGAACATAGATATGATAGTAAGAAGTCACAACAGTATAGACTATTACTTTGCCATAGACAATGTTGGAGCAGACATTTAGAATGAAGTCTAATTCCTTATTATAGCCATTTTGTTGACATGGTCACACAAAAGAGAAAGACTTTTACAAAGTATTGTGTAGTTGCATCACTTTGTTTTGGTGATATAATATCATTTCATGTACATAGACATCATTCACAAATTTTAAAATAGAATTTTTAGCAGTAGAATGGTTGCAAAGAAAATGAAATTGCCCTTCGTTAAAACGTTGGGGGACTAGGAAGCAAATGAGGGTAGAAAATGCAGTCAAGAAATCTGTAAATGAAGGCTGTAACAGGAAGAAACAGGTCGGTATTTGAAGAAAAGCATAGATTAGGTTTTGTTTCTTTGTTTACTCCTTCCTTCCTTATTTTCTTTCTTTTTGAGACAGGGTTTCTCTACATAGCCCTAGATGTTCTGAAACTCATGCTATAGACCAGGCTGGCTTCAAACGCAGAGATCTGCCTGCCTCTGCCTGGGATTAAGGGTGTGTCTCACCACTATTCAGTTTAGGAAGACTAGGGAAACTTGAACATATTTTTAATGTTGGTGTTTATTATTCATTAGAAAGGAATAAAATGCAGAGCCCCAAGATTGGATTCAGAATACAGAAAGGGATTGGACTTGGTGAGAAGCATCCCCAAATGAGAAAAGTATGGTAGATGCTGCCAAGGTGAAGACTTGGTACAAAAAAATGAAGTAATTAACATCTGATAAGTTCTATTTTGTCTGTAAGGTTCATGAGACAGTTCATCTTCTGAGTAATTGGGTGAGAAAATTAAAGTAAGATAATTGAACTTTAAGTCGTTGTATGCACTGATGAGAAAGGTGATCAGATAAATTATGAAGAAAATTATGGCCTTAAATCTGAATGCACTTTAAAAGATATGTTTTAATTATATGCTGGATGTGGGTTCTGGGAACAAACTCCAGCTCTTAGTGAGAGGAATTTGCTGTTTAACCAATGAGTTGTGTCTCCGGCCCCATCAATATAGTTTTTATATAAAAATGCATGGTGACAGTGCTGTTAACTTTTGTAAGTTTTGTCTTACAGTGCTGTAACCCAAGTATTATAGAGGAGAAAGAAAATAATTGCAGCCACACTAAGTGGCAGCCGGGGTAGGAGCCGGAGTGTGACTACTAAAGCAGGAGTTGGTTGGACAAAAATGAAATTTAGAACAGGAACGGGAGATGGTTGATATTTTGCAGCAATATCATGCAGAGGAGGCTATGGTAAGGTCAGAATATGATGGCAGAAGCAACATGAGAGAATTTAAAGACAGTGAAGTTGGTGTCCCCAGAGGGAGGTGCCTAGTCACCGTATCACAGAAAGGGTAGTCCTCGGTGGGGAGTGCAGCGGATGGCCTGGTTAGTGAAAACAGAGCTGTAGGTGAGGACCTGGGGACTGAATGCCCATTTCTTTTTAATAAACAGTGCACTGGCCCAGGAATGGAGGCTGGATTGCCAGCTAAAAACGGAATGATACAGTCCATTTATAAGCTACAATGCCCTGATACCACAAGACCTTTACTTCCAACACTTGTAGGCAATCAAAAATTAAACTGTTACTTGGCTTTCATTGTTGAGAGTTTTCAAGAAAATTCATTCTGGGAAGCTGAATCTTTTTTTAAAAAAATATAGATTTCAAGGCAACTTTTCTCCATTGGCTGTGAGAGCATTTCCTTAATTACTTATAACTCACAGGAGTTGTTTATTATAAAATTGACCAGCACATCTTGATTTGAATGTACTGTGTTAAATATAGTGATAACAGAGATATTTGAAGACGGAGAGAACAAATTGCTTTTAGTAAAACATTTTAGAAGATTGGTTGGTTGCTTTATTTGAGCATGGAAGCCCCCTACGTCTTGGTTACTCTCCACTAGCGTAAGGAGACACAATTTCTTCCAGAAATAGAGAAGTCTTGATGCTCCTTTATCTGGGAAAGCCTGAAGCAACAAGACAATTACCTGGACCTTCTGCTGTGTCTGATGTTCTGTCTGTGGGACTCCTCTGCTTGCTTACTTGAAATCATAGGATCCTAGAGTTATTTTCCATTGCTTTGAACATCTTTTTGAGCTAGAGACAACACAGTATCTCACACATTTGAGGTATACAGTTTAGTGATTATTCCTATGTTTGCAGAACTGTGTAACGATTAGCATTATCTCTACTTTAAAATATTTTCATTACTACCCATACAGATTGTACCCAACTAGTCTCCATTTCTACACATTTTCCCAACCTTAGACAACCACCAAAACACCTTCTGTCTCCATAGATTTGTTTGTTTTGTATAGAACAGAATTATAAAATATGTGATTTAAAAACCAACAGGTTTCTCTCATCCAGCATAAAACTTTTAAGAGAGCACCAAATCCTAACCAGTAAACTCAAGGGACATCAAAATTAGCACAATATTTTTGAAACTGCCCATGATGTATGTGCTGGCTAATTTACGTAAACTTGACACAGGCTAGAATCATTGGAGAGGAGGGAAACTAAATTGAGAAAATGCCTCCATAAGATCAGGCAGTAGGTAAGCCTGTAGAGCATTTTCTTAATTAGCAATTTGTGGGGGAGGGTCAAGCCCATTGTGGGTGGTGCTCCTCCTGGGCTAGTGGTCCTGGGTTCTATAAAAAAGCTCAACAAGGCTTGGGGAGCAAGCTAGTAAACAGCACCCTCCCATGTCCTCTGTGCCAGCTCCTGACTTCAGGTTCTTAATTGTCTTTCTCTCTCCATGGTGCTCATTATCTC